CATTGGATAAAGTCTTCCATAATTTTGAGTAACAGGGGGGCAAAATTTGCGGTAAATAGGTGCGAGAGGTCAAGGGCCCACCAGAGAGAGCATACGTTTTCATAACTCTTAATATCTGCAGGGTGCAGTCAGCTACTCAGCATATTATTGTCAAGCATGAAACTAGCTTAAAAATGTATATAAATATGGCAGGTCTCGGACATCCATTTGTCATAGGAAGTGTGTGGAGGCCTAATCCAGTCTAATACCTTAGCATAGAGATTTTTGGGTTCAAAATGCTACACAACAACTGAGGGAGGTAACTATGTCTATTTTGGTTCTGCTGTCATTATTTCCCTCCCTCCTAGATTGTAAGCTCCAAGGAGCAGGGCCCTCCTATCCCTCTTGTATTGAACTGTATTGTTGCTGTATTGTCTCCCGTTATATTGTAAAGTGCTGAGCAAACTGTTGGTGCTATATAAATCCTGTGTAATAATAATAATAATAATTGAATGAGTTATGACACATGCTGAAGTTTTAGACTCTCGGCTGAGAACCAGTCCGTCAAGGATGTGTATTTGTATTTATATTGGGGGTTAGATTCTGCTAGTCCTATTACCAGGCTGATAAGGGGTTTCTGCAACAACTAACATTTTGTGTATTGTGTGAGCTAAAAGGAGGTCGGAGGGATAGAGAGGAAAAGGTCACTGTGCAATGCTTATGAAGAAATGGCATAGGACACAGGTTACAAAATGGCTGCGTGTATTCATGTGCCCAGTATGCACAACCATTACAGTTGTAGCCACCATTTTTTGCTTTAGGAGTTGCAGAGAGAAGGGAACTGACTTTGTCATGTAGAAGTAAAATGGTAAATCTAGTACAGTCAGCTGCTGCTGTTTACCTTTTCCAGGGACAGATCAACAAGGAGTTTGTGCCTTCTATTGTTGCTTCGATCACCTCTGCCCAGAGTGCCTGACTAGGGCTTCCTGCTGTCAAGGCATGCAGCATGCAGGAGATGAGGGTGGTGAGTACGTATTGGGATTTTGTTTAGCAAAGATGTGTCGCAGAAATATATTTTGGCCTAAATTTATGACAAAATTAGATTTTTACATTTTTTTACTGGACATGTTTAACCCCTTGCCTACCAGGCACTTATACCCCCTTCCTTACCAGGCCAATTTTCAGCTTTCAGCGCTGCCGCACTTTGATTGACAATTGCGCGTGTCATGCAACATTGTACCCATATGAAATTTTGATCATTTTTTTCTCACAAATAGAGCTTTCTTTTGGTGGTATTTAATCGCCACTGGGCGCTTTACTTTTTGCGCTATAAATTAAAAAAGTGCAAAAAATTTGAAAAAAAAAAAAAGTTTATTTGTTTCTTTTATAAAATTTTTCAAACAGGTATTTTTTCTTCTTCACTGATTTGCGTTGATGAGGCGGCACTGATGGGCACTGATAGGCGGCACTGATGGGCACTGATAGGCAGCACTAAAGGGCACTGATAGGCAGTACTAATGAGGTGGCACGGATAGGCGGCACTGATAGACAGCACTAATTAGGGGTCACGGATAGGCGGCACTGATATGCAGCACTGATAGGCGGCACTGATAGGTGACACTGATTATGGGTACTGATAGACGGCACTGACTGGCATCACTTCTGGGCACTGACTGGCGGCACTGACTGGCACAACCCCTGGACACTGACTGGTGGCACTGACTGGCAGCACTGCTGGGCTGCACTGGTGGGCGGCACTGGTGGGCACCACTGGTGGGTGGGCACAGGTGGGTGGCACTGGTGGGCACAGGTGGGTGGCACTGGTGGGCACAGGTGGGTGGGCACAGGTGGGTGGCACTGCTGGCACATGTAGGTGGCACTTTTGGGCACAGGTAGGTGGCACTGCAGAGTGGCACAGGTGGGGGCACAGGTGGGGGCACTGCTGGGCACAGGTGGGGGCACTGCTGGGCATGGGTGGGCGGGGCTAGTGGGCGCACTGCTGGGAGGAACTTGCGGGGGTCACTGCTGGGCCACCGATCATCAGGGCACTGATCATCAGTGCCCTGATGATCGGTGCCGATCCCCGCTCTGACAACTGCCGGTTCTCGGCAGTACTTTCCTCACGATCTGACAGCGTGAGGAAAGTGCAGCCGAGAACCGGCACTTGCATTTTCCTGTGATCAGCGTGTCATTGGACACCGCTGATCACGTGGTAAAAGGCCGGTGGGATCGGCCTTTCACCACATCTCGTGATCAGCTGTGTCCGTAGGACACAGCGATCACGGAGATCGCCGGGTGCGCGCCCCCTGGGGCGCGCAGGAGAGCGCGTTCTGGGAGGACGTCATATGACGTCCACCCAGATCTAGCCGGCCGCGGTGCAGCCGTCATTCGGCTATGCGCGGTCGGCAAGTGGTTAATAGCAAAAAGTCCAAAATATTGTTTTTTTTCTCAAAATTATCGGCCTTTTTTTTATAACTCAAACAATAAAAAAACACACAGGTGATCAAATACCACTGAAAGAAAGCTCAATTCGTGGGGAAAAAAGGACGTAAATTTAATTTGTATGCAGCATTGCATGACTGTGCAATTGTCAGTTAAAATAACACAGAGCCATAACACAAACAGCTTCTTTAACTGCTTCCTGAAAGCCCTATAGCAGAAATACTGCTACAGGGCGGCATGGGTGCACAAAATCACATATACAGTGGGGATCGAAAGTTTGGGCACCCCCAGCTAAAAACTTGTATTAATGTGCATAAAGAAGCCAAGGAAAGATGGAAAAAATCTCCAAAAGGCATCAAATTACAGATTAGACATTCTTATAATATGTCAACAAAAGTTAGATTTTATTTCCATCATTTACACTTTCAAAATAACAGAAAACAAAAAAATGGCGTCTGCAAAAGTTTGGGCACCCTGCAGAGTTAATATCTTGTACTGCCCCCTTTGGTAAGTATCACAGCTTGTAAACGCTTTTTGTAGCCAGCCAAGAGTCTTTCAATTCTTGTTTGAGGTATCTTTGCCCATTCTTCCTTACAAAAGTCTTCCAGTTCTTTGAGATTTCTGGGCTGTCTGTCACGCACTGCTCTTTTAAGGTCTATCCATAGATTTTCAATTATGTTGAGGTAGGAGATTGTGAAGGCCATGGCAAAACCTTCAGTTTACGCCTCTTGATGTAATCCCCCGTGGATTTTGAGGTGTGTTTAGGATCATTATCTATTTGTAGAAGCCATCCTCTCTTTAACTTCAGCTTTTTCACAGATGGCATCAAGTTACCATCCAAAATTTGCTGAAATTTTATTGAATCCATTTTTCCTTCTACTCGTGAGATGGTCCCTGTGCCACTGGCTGCAACACAACCCCAAAGCATGATTGATCCAACCCCATGCTTAACAGTTGGACAGAGGTTCTTTTCATTAAATTCTGTGCCCCTTCTTCTCCAAACGTACCTTTGCTCATTCCGGCCAAAAAGTTCAATTTTAACCTCATCGGTCCACAGAACTTGTTTCCAAAATGCATCAGGCTTGTCTATATGTTCATTTGCAAAGTTCAAACAATGATTTTTGTGGTGAGAACGTAGAAGAGGTTTTCTTCTGATGACTCTTCCATGAAGACCATATTTGTACAAGTATCTCTTTATAGTGGAATAGTGTACCACAACTCCAGTGTCTGCCAGATCTTTCTGGAGGGATCGTGCAGTCAAACGTGAGTTTTGAAATGTTTTTTCTCACAATCCTGCAAGCTGTTCTGTCTGATATTTTTCTTGGTCTTCCAGATCTTGCTTTAACTTCCACTGTTCCTGATGACTGCCATTTCTTAATTACATTCCGAACAGAGGATATTGACATCTGAAAACGCTTTGCTATCTTCTTATAGCCTTCTCCAGCTTTGTGAGCGTCAACTATTTTCAGTTTCAGTTTTCTAGACAACTGCTTAGAAGAACCCATGGTGCTGATTGTTGGGGCAAGGTCAGATGAGTCTGGGCATTTAAAACCTTTGAGATTGACATCACCTGGTCTTCCCAGATGATGATTTAGAACAATCCATGACACTGGCAGGTCTCAGCTTTGCAAAGGGGGCAGTGCATGCTATAAATTCTGCAGGGTGCCCAAACTTTTGCAGACGCCATTTTTTTGTTTTCTGTTATTTTGAAAGTGTAAATGATGGAAATAAAAATCTAACTTTTGTTGACATATTATAAGAATGTCTAATCTGTAATTTGATGCCTTTTGGAGATTTTTCCATCTTTCCTTGGCTTCTTTACACATTAATACAAATTTTTAGCTGGGGTGCCCAAACTTTCGATCCCCACTGTATATATGTGATTTGCGCTCCCGTGGTTTTCACGCCCCTCCCATATAGTGTCAGATTGCCCATCAGTACACCAGTAATCACATTTAACCCCTTGTGCAAGGATTCAACCTATGTCTGTAGCCCCCCTTGTCCTCGTTATTTCCACCCTCAGGCCTGGGAGAAATAAAGCTCCGACACCGAAGTGTGCAAGCTAAATCTCTGAAAGTTTAATGCATGACAAGAACGGTTATACAGAACTCAGTAGGCGTTGCTTAATCACAGGATGACCAATGAAACATTCCATTCTTATCAATATAGTTACGTGAAGAACAGAAACTGCAAATAGTTGAGGGATACCATATACGGTATTTCCGTTTACAGAAATGAAACTAGTCTAAGGAAACGAGAGAGAAGTTACAAAACAGAAACTAACTGTTCACACATCTAGAAATGGAGGCATTATACAAAATGGATGACAGTTAATAAGACATATTTCCTTACACCTTGATTGCCAGGAAGACGCTCATACACAATAAACCTCCATTGCTAGTATAGTGTCTGAATGGATCAATATCTTTGATCAGATCAGCACTATACCAGCGTTCACATTAGTATAGTGTCCCCAAAAACACAGCATTAGTGGGATCAGCCCCGGCACCTGCCAGCACCTGCGTTTAGCCCCTACGCTTACCCCCCCTTCTCCCCCAGCAAGTGCAGTGTCAGTAGGTCACTGTCACTTGATACATTGCACACAAAACCGCAGTGTTTGCAGAATCAGGCCTGATCTCTGTTAGCACTTGCCGGTAAATTTTGATGACTCTCATATGCAGCAGAGTGCCAGTACTAGTGCCACGTTACCTTTTGGTGAACTGGCAATCATCGGCCTAGTACATCCTGGTCTTTCACATACCAGCACTGCAGTATCACTTGGTGACGTGGCGAGTCCCGTAAGGGCAGTACAAGCTGGTGCGGTGGCGAGGACAAGTATTGTCCCGCAGCCACCAAGAATTCACACACTGACCCGCAGAGCCCCTAGTATCCTTCCAGATGTGCTTGCAAATCCCGAATGGCAGCCCACAAATTCTGCAGCACCCGTACTTCCCCCATTCACTACTCAACCCGGAATTCAGGTGGAAACAGCAAATTTACCTACTCTCCTTGATTTTTTTGGAGCTGTTTTTCACAGAAGATCTGTATGCATTGATTTCGGATCAAAGCAATTTATATGCTCAACAATTTATCGCCGCCAACCCAGATTCAAACCTTGCCAGACCATTCGCATGGAAACCCATTATGGTTTCCGAATGTTAATTTTTTTTAGGCCGAACCCTCAACATGGGCATTACTAAAAAAAATGAATTGCGGTTGTATTGGTCCACAGACCCGATTCATCATATGCCTGTGTTCTCTGCTGCCATGGCCAGGCATAGATATGAGAGTACAGAGGCGGACTGACAACTCATGGGCCCCCCTGTGTCCCTGCCCAAACTCAAAAAAGCCTATGAAAAAGGTACCAGGGGCATCTCATGGGGCCCCCTACTGACCCCGAGCCCTCGGGCAGTGCCCGAGTTTCCAAATGGTCAGTCTGCCCCTGTGAGAGTATAATGTGTTTTATGCATTTCAAGATAACACACTCTGTCGTCCTCGGGGTGACCCTGAATTTGACTGGCTCCACAAAATTCGACTCCTCGTAAATCACCTTAACCAAAAATTTGCAGATGTCTATACTCCCCAGCAAAATATCTGCACTGATGAGACCCTCATTAATTTTTCTGTCCGCCTTGCATTCAAACAATTTCTCCCCAGCAAACATGCCAGATATGGAGTCAAGATGTATAAGACCTGTGAGAGGGCAACAGGCTAGACGTATAAGTTTCGAATTTACGAGGGAAAAGATAGTTATGTGGAGCCCCCGGATGCTCAGACTACATGGGGAGTAGTGGCAAGATAGTTTGGGACTTGGTGTCATTCTTTTTCCAAATGGAGTACCAATTATACATGGACAATTTTTATTCAAGCATGCCACTATTTAGACATTGGTACAATCTTGAAATTGGTGCATGTGGCACCGTGCGACCTAATGTGTGTCCACCATTAGAAGTGGGTGGATGCAGGGCGGTATATTCTAATGGTGGGCATACCACACACTTTTTCTGGCAGATATTTCTTCTCTTTTTTTCATTCAGCCCACAGGCTGCATACAAAAAAAGAAAAATAACATAGCATATATACCCAACAACGCAACATATTGGTACATCACTGGACTTTGAATGGTTATACCAGGATGATGCCTACAGCTGCAGGCATCATCCTGGTATGGTTTTTTTTTTTTCAGCCGGAAATCAGCTTTCATGTAAAAGCAATCCTAGTGCCTAATTAGCTGCAGGATTGCTCCCCCTCCCCCGCTGCCTTCCACAGCCTTCGCGGGAAGTCCCGTGCCATCGGGGGAACCTGAGAATGCAGCCGGTGTTTCTGCCAGCTGACCATAGAGCTGATCGGAGACTGGAATGGTGCCAATCATCTCTATAGTCTAAGAAATCGGAAGCTACGAGCATTTCATCACTTCAGTTTCGCAGGATATAAACAGCACTATTTGTAAATTGGGAAAGCATCTGATCACACCAATCTTGGTTAGATTAGATAATATAAGGGCAAGGGAGATATCTAGAGTCTGATAGACCCCAGATTTCTCAAAAAATAATATATGATAATGCCCATTGAAGTTATAGCTCAGGGTGTCTACTTTCTGAAAAGGGGTCATTTGGGGGTGTTTGTACTATCCTGGTATTTTAGCACCATAAGAAATGTGATGGGCAGTCAGAAAGTTGTGCAAATTCCATTATCTATACCATAGTTTGTAGATGCTATAACTTTCACACAAAGCCATCAATATACACTTATTGGGATTTTTTTAACCAAAAACATGTAGCAGAATACATTTTGGCCTAAATTTATGATGACATTTTAGTTTTTTTTATATTTTTTATGACAGAAATGAGAAAATATTGTTTTTTTTTCAAAAATATTTTTTTTTTTCAAAAATGTTTCTGTTTATAGCACCAAAAATAAAAAGCACACAGGTGATAAAATACCACCAAGGGAAAACTCTATTTGTGTGAAAAAAAGGAAGGATGTAAATTTAATTTATGTACCATATTGCATGATTGCGCAATTGTTAGTTAAACTAGTGCAGCGCTGTATTGCAAAAAATGGCATAAATTGCAGTATCTATACCATTTTTTTTTTACCAAAAACATGTAGCAGAATACAATACTAACTTTGAGTTTACTATATATTTTCTATAGCCGAAAGTAAAAAATATCATTTTTCTTCAGAATTTTCGATCTTTTTTTGTTTATAGCGTGAAAAAGTGCACAGGTGATCAAATACCACCAAAAGAAAGCTCTATTTGTGTGAAAAAAAGGACGTAAATTTAGTTTGGGTACAGCATTGCATGACCGCGCTATTATCAATTGAAGTAGTACAGCGCAGAATAGCAAAAAGAGGCCTGGTCATTAAGGGGTGTAAATCCTCTGGAAGGCAAGTGGTTAAGGGGGATAAATACTCAGGATGGCAAGTGGTTAAAGAAGATACTATATCTGCTGATAGGGACACTCCTGTTTAGTTTCTGTTCACTGCTTGAATTTTGTTCTGTTTGCCAACAGAATCAGAATGATTCCCTGAAGAAAAGATAAACGGCAGATAGACTGGACTGTCAGTAATATCTAATGATTGCCCATGTCTTAAAATTCCATTCTCTGGAGTGTTATTCCTGTTTGAATAGGACTTTAGCTTTTATTTGCTGCTGGCTGTTTTGTTGTGTTTATTTATTGTGCAGGTGGAGCAACTGAGGATGTTTTCTGCAGTCAACAAATATTGCACTTGTATTGTAATGTGTGCACTTCCACTATTTAGGTTGTTAGTGGTAAGAAGTATTGTGTGCCACAAAGAGTATTTTTCATTATTCTTTATTTCCATTCTGATATAATAAACATCCTGTAGGGAGCTTATCAAAACTGGAACAGCTGTCCATGGCAACCAATCAGCTTCCACCGTCAGCTTGTTCAGTTAAACTTTGAAAATTAAAAAAGCTGGTTGGTTGGCATGCACAGATTCTGGGTGCTCCATTTTTTTTGTCCCTGACAATAGTGTAAGACAATCGAACAGTCTGAGTTATGAAAATGTATGTCTCACTGGCCAACTACTTGGCAGATTATTGCCAGTGGTGAGTACTGGGTATAAGCATAAATATTTGGGAGTGACCTTGAAAAGCTCTCTTGCGTCGAGGTTCTGCCTGAGGAGGGTATGTGTTGCTGCTTTTTATCCCTGCCCTCCCATACCTGCTGCCTGTGGAGAGTGTTTTACTACAGGGAGGCTAAGCCTGGGCCTGGGAAGATTTCTGCTGTTCTGCTGGAGGGTGTATCCTGGAAAAGTGGAAAAGGAAAATAATTACCTGAACTGGAGCATTAGCAATGAAACTTTGCCTGCTGAATAATGTCAGAGGCCACTGTTCATGGACAGTGCAGAAAGTTCTGGTGGCTCATCCAAGGGGTACATACGCTGCCCTACAGTTTGAATAGTACAGAGGGCCAGTCTGGTGTTAAGGACATTTTTGTGTTCACTGTGAATAGAGATACAGAGACTACATTGTGGTCTTTTTGGGTATCCTGTGCCTAATCCCTCTCTCCCTGAGCTTATTGTCATATAATAAACTCTGTTAAATTGTGCTAAAGTGACTGCCACCAAATTTCTTCTCTCCCACCAGGAGTCAATTATTCTGCCCTGAGCTGAAATGTTAGCCCACCAAGCAACCCAGGGTTCGTTAACTGCCTTAAGGATTACATATAGCAGCTAATCAGAAGTACTGAAATTTCATCCTGGCAATGTGGGCACTGTGTAATGTAAAAACAGACTCTGGGAGATCGTCAGTGTAGCTTGGGGGGTGAAAAAGCCTAGTGGCTACATCACCAGAAGGAATGTGGGAGGAGCTGGGGTTTTTTTGCTGTAGGAGCTGCAGAGAAAAAAGAAACTGCCTGTACCCCAGAGAATGATCATTCTTCAGCTGCTACTGTCTCCCCCTTTCAGAGAGTAGTTGTATAGTTAAATGCTAGCCCGCTGAGCCACCTGAAGGTCCCTAACTGCTTTCATGATATAAGGATGTGCTACATATTAAAAAGGAAAATATTCTGAGGTTATCTGAGGTGAGGTTGCATTTAATTTTAAACACGTTTTAAAATATCATGTGCCCATGAAATGGCAGCAAACCTCAATACTCAAAATTTTCCGTAGGCAAGTTTTAAAAGCTTTTACAGATCATTTGATTAGAGTTAAGCATGAATGATGACCCTCAAAGTTATGCCATTCACTCCAGCATGCATGATGATATGTAACATTATGTGTAGCACAACTATTATTTTCATAGCCACTCCCGGCACATGCTCCATTAGCTGCTTCCCTGCCTCCCTGGCCACAGCAGATGGTGAATGGCAGCTCTGAACCAGAAAGTGAAATGGTATGTGTTGCTTTCTGGGTTCATTCATTGGAGGGAGAATCAGTGAAAGGGTGGTTGCTGAGCTCTCTCTCTCTCTCTTTCTCTCTTTCTCCTTTATCTGGCAACACCTGCTATGCCAGCTTTGGACCTGCAGGTGGGACAACAGAACCTGGGATACATGGCAGGGGGCAGCACAGGGAATGTTATGTACTGCTACCTGTGGAAGTGACTGGGTTGCTTTACAGACAGCCAATTACTTCCACCAGATAGCTGACAGTCAGCTGAGAAAGTACACACAACAGCCAGCAGTTTGTATAACTGCTGCTGCTGCCACCAACAACACCCTTAAATCAGTGGCAGCAAAGAAAGAAACGTAGAAAAGTGACATTAGAAAAAAGACCAAGTGGTCCATTGAATCTGACCCATTTTTTTTTTTTATTTATACATGTTCTCATTTTTTTTATTGTTAACTTTTTTGTCTAAATATAGGTCTCTGTTTGTCCCAAACATGATTGAATACATTTACTGTTGACTGACTTACTACCTCTGCTGGAAGTCTATCCAAGCAACTACCCTTCCAGTAAAATACTTTCTGAAATTAGTTTTGAACTTTCTTCCTGCTAGTTTGAAGTCTGTGTTCTTGATCTCGACTTTATATTTAAAATGCCCTCCTTAACCTTAATCACACCCTTGATGTATTTAAAGGTTTTAATCATATCTCTTATTTGCCTTCTTTCCTCCAAACTGTATATATAATGTTTCTGAAGTCTCTCTTGATGTGTTATATCCCTCAGACCTTTCACCATTTTTGTTACCCATCTCTGAACTCATTCTATCTTATCAATATCTTTTTGTAAGTGAGGTCTCCAGAAGTGGACAAAGTCTTCTAAATGAGGTCAAACTAAAGATCTATATAGGGGGACCAATACCTCCTTCCTCCTACTGGTGAACCCTCTAGTGATGTAACCTAAAATTCTATTCACTTTTCCCACTGCCTGGCCACATTCTTTGCTCATTTCACAATCATCTGAAATAAGCACTCCTAAATCTTTTTCCCCTGTAGTGCTGACCAACACTGTACCCCCAATGTCGTACTCTGACAGGAGGTTATTTTTCCCTAGATGCATTATTTTACATTAAGAAACACTGAACTTCAGTTTCCCTGTTTGACCAATCTTCCAGCAATGCCAAATCATGTTCTATATTACAGACACCTCCCGTGATAGCAACCCTATTACACACCTTTGTGTCATCAGCAAAAAGACATACCTTACCCAACAAACATTTAGTTATATCGCTTACATATAGATTAAATAGAACGGGACCCAGTACAGAGCCTTGTGGTACACCACCAGTGACTGGTTTCTGTTCCAAGTGAACCCCATTTACAACCACAGTCTAGTATCTATTCTTTAGCCAACTGCATATCCAGTGAACCACCCAAGGGATAAGTCCTAGCTTTTATATTTTTTTGACTAGATCATTATGTGGAGCAGTATTAAATGCCTTGCTGAAACAGATTTAGTGGTCCAAAAACATTAGTGTGATATATTATTATTAT